AATAGAAATACTGAAAAGAACACACCAGGGCTTGAAGGGGGAGTGACTTGCGGGCAGGGCAGGGCCACTTTCTTTTTGTCTTGCAAGGAGTTCTCTGGCTGTTCTTTAAGGGGCTGGGGGCAATGAACCTGGAGAAACAGCTTCATGCTTATCTTGGGCTGAAGAGTTGTCAGCTGTTCAGTTATCCTGCTTATTGATCTATATGATGCCTGTCTGGTGCCTATGCATTGCTTGCATTCCCTGGGTTGATTATGCATTTGACTCTGATGGAGATCTCATTATTTGTTTTTCTACAAGAGATTAAGTAAATGTCTAGAGCTGGAATAATGGAGAGGGCAATGAAGGTGAAACAGGAATAGAGAGTTGAGATTCTGTTTTGCATCTTTCTTGCTTGCTACAATGCACTTGGCATAAGGGGATTTATTTCTGTCTTCTGTATTCTGTCCCATTGGTTTATGTGCCTCTTTTATGCCAGTGCCATGCTGTTTTGATTATTATAGCTTTGTAATATATTTTGAAGTCAGATCTTATGATGCCTCCAGGTTTAATTTTGTTTAGGATTGCTTTGGCTCTTTGAGGTCTTTTGTAGTTTCATACAAATTTTAGGATAATTTTTTCTGTATCTGTGAAGAATGTCATTGGTATTTTGATAGGAATCACATTGAATCTGTAGATCACTTTTGGTAGTATGGTCATTTGACAACATTAATTCTTCTAATTCATCCATATGGAACATCTTTCCATTTTTTTGGTATGTCCTCTTCAATTTTTTCATCAGTGTTTTGCAGTTTTCATTGTAGAGATCTTTCACCTGCTTAAGTTTATTCTTAGATATTTGTTTTGTAGCTGTTGTAAATGGGATTGCTTTCTTGATTTCTTTCTTAGCTAGTTTGTTACTGGTATACAGAACTGCTACTGATTTATGCATGCAGATTTTGTATCCTGCAGCTTTACTGAATTCATTTATCAGTTCTTTTTTTTTTTTTAAACAGTCTTGCTCTGTCACCCAGGCTGGAGTTGGAGTGCAGTGGCTCAATCGTGGCTCACTGCAACCTCCATCCTCCAGGTTCAGATGATTCTTGTGCCTCAGCCTCCCCAAGTAGCTGAGACTACAGGTTCGTGCTACCATGCCTGGCTAATTTTTTGTATTTTTAGTAGAGACAGGGTTTTGCCATGTTGCCGGCTGGTCTTGAACTCCTGACCTCAAGTGATCTGCCCGCCTTATCCTCCCAAAGTGTTGGATTACAGGCACGAGCCACCACTCCCCACCTCATTTATCAGTTCTAAGAGGTTTTTAGGTGGATTCTTTAGGTTTTTCTATGTAAATGTTGTCTGCAAACTGGGACAATTTGACATCCTCTTTTCCAGTTTTGATGCTCTTTATTTCTTTCTCTTGTTTAATTGCTCTGTCTAGGACTTCTGGTACTATATTAATTAAGAGTGGACTATAGTGAACTATAGTCTTTTCTTCGAGTTTAGTGTTTCCACTCCATCTCTGGACATGTTCACCAAAGGAAAAAAAAGCCCAGTTACATCTTGTATCCTGTAAGATATGACACCTTGGCCTTCAGCTAGAGGTTAAATCGAACCTCTCCCAAGTCAACTAACCCCCAGGGCACATCTCATGTGAATTCCTCCATTGAACTGTCAGCACTTTTGGTCACCTCTAATCCTCTGCCATGAGTTTCTCTCCTGCCTTCAGAGGAGTCTCTTGGTTCCTTTGTCTGTGAGACTTCATAAAGTAGTGCCTCAACTCTGCCGCTGCTGTGAGCACTCGTGGTGGGATGCTGACGTTCATGGCAAGGGCTCTGTCTTCTAGGGCTGCTGAAGCTGCCAAATCTTGAAGTGCTCCCGTTTTGCCCCTGCACTGCCTGGCAGTGTTCTGGGCAGGAGTGGGGAAGAAGTTTCCTTCCCATTATGGGCCATAGTTTGCCTCTGGTCTGATTTTTAGTTCAGGTTTAATCTACAAAGAAAATATGTGCTGGGCTGGCTCAGGCCCAAGCCAACACCAAAGCCCCAAGCCAATGCCAGCACCCTGTCACCAGGCTAAAGGCATGTTCATGTAGGGGCCTGGATTCCTGGTGGTGGAGTCCTGTGACCACAGGGATAAAATGGGCTGAGATGACAGTGAGCGATGGCTCCACTGTAGAGCTGTCTCCATCAGGGTGTCTGCTCTTCTCATCACAAAGGAGATAATATGCAAAGTATTTGCTTTTCCTGGTGCAAAGCAGAAACTAGTACTTGAAACCTTCTGACATGCAGACTTAATGGTGCCAGTTGCTTTGTGGCTGCTTAGTAAATATTTATCCAGAAAATTGCTAGGCCAAGAAATACGTCTGCTTAGTTGCCTGTGTTCTCATAGCAAAAGCTTCTATTGCATTTCTGCTGTTGACTGGGAAGAAGATTCCAGAACAGACAGGCCCATCTCTAAGTAAATCTAGCAGGAGAAGCAGTAACTTAAGACAGGCAAAGCTGAAATCACAATGAAAGAATCCATCCAACAGGAACTCATGAATTTTTGGGAAGAGCTAGAGGAGCTACTCTGAGGGAGATTTTCTCTTGTGTTCTAAAAAACACATGGACACAGGGAGGGGAGCACTACACACTGGGGTCAGTTGGGGGGAAATAGGGGTGGGACAGAGGGGTGTGGGGAGCTGGGGAGAGATGGCAAGGGGAGAGATGCCAGATGTAGGTGATGGGGAGGAAGGCAGCAAATCACACTGCCACGTGTGTACCTATGCAACAATCTTGCATGTTCTTCACATGTACCACAAAACCTAAAATGCAATAAAATAAATAAATGGGGGAAAAAAAAAACATTTCTGAGCCCTGCCTTAGCTAATCTTTATTTTCAGTTACAATAAAAGGTTATCCAAGACTGTGGAGGTTGTCCACATCTGTGACTTCGCAGTCTAAGAGGAAATCCATCCTGCATGCAACATGGAACTTAGTGTTTATTCGCACTACCTGGCCCTCTGAACCATTAGTAGAATTTCACCCGAAAGGGAAGTTTACAGCTCCTTATCATGATATGTGCCAACATGTATCAGTCAGGGTCCAGCCAGAGACAGAACCCACACCTGGTATTTCAACAGAAGGAATTATTATACTAACAATTCACATTTGCATAGAGCTTAACGGTTTAGAGAGCACTTTTCTTCTATTTTGCCCCATTTAAAATTATTGCAAAATTGAGATGACATGGACAGAACATTTTTTTCTTTATGTAACTAAGTAGATATCTAACAATTCAACAACTTTTTTGCACATGTGTGAAAAGCTATACATATGCATGAAAAATCTCAAATGGCACAAAAGGATAAACAATAAAAAGAAATTCTCCCTGTTACCTCTGAATCCTAGTTCTTTTCTCCAAAATTTTGTTTTCTTCCAATAATTTTCTTTGCATGTACGAGTATACACACACACACACACAAACACACACATAAACATATATAATACATACGTAGTTATAGGTATTTCCACTAAATAGTTAAAATTAATATAATTCCTTATAATAAACACACATATAATTTTGTATAACTACATCAAAGATTGTGTCACATTAGGTCTTTTTTCCTTTTTATTTATTGATGTGGCCTCCTTTTCCATTCCTTATTCATTCATTTATTTAGAAAATATTTACTGAGAAGCTACTATGTTCTAGGCACTGTGTTAGGATGTGGGGATACACCAGAGAGCAAAGCAGCTCAACACCATGGTGCCGATGTCTCCTTTCCTTGTTCCAGGTCAGCATGTGGCATTTTCAGGCCGGATGGGGTATCTCCGGCAACCCTTCACAGCTCATGGCATGGCGTGGGGGCTCCCCTCTATCTTCCTTTTTTGCAAGAATGTGATGCTTTGCCATTTGTCCCTGAGCCTCTCAACCACTAGGATCCAGGTCTAGTTACCATTCTTCTATGAGCCATTTGGCTTTTGGTTTTGCCCCTCCAGTTGAGCTGGGCATCCTTCTTTCATTGTTGGTGTCTGTGAATTTCTTTTCTTTCTCATTCATCTGTGTATTGAAAAACTTTATTTTGAGGCATTTGTACATTTTTTTCTAGGATTTCTACATGCTGATGGCTGAGGTGGGAGTGAGGAGGTCCTTCCATGATAGGTCACTTTGCCATGGTGACTCAGAGTGCCCAGGAGTGTTTTGACAGATGCTGGGAGAGACTGATAGTGAGAGAGGTATGCAAAGGGAATGGAGAGGTGTTTTGCTGGGCACTAAAAATGTGATCCTTGGCCAGGTGTGGTGGCTCATGCCTGTAATCCCAGAACTTTGGGAGGCTGAGGCAGGTGGGTCACGAGGTCAGGAGTTCAAGACCAGGCTGGCCAACATGGTGAAACCCGTCTCTACTAAAAATTAGCCAGGGGTGGTGGCATGTGCCTATAGTCCCAGCTACTCGGTAGGCTGAGGCAGGAGAATTGCTTGAACCCAGGAGGCAGAGGTTGCAGTAAGCCGAGATCATGTCATTGTACTCTAGCCTGGGTGACAGACCTAGAGTCTGTCTCAAAAAAAAAAAAAAAAAAAAAGTGATCCTCTACCTTCCACAGAAAATGGTTTAAATTTTTTAAAATTAATTTTGTTTATCAAGCTATATTTTAATACAATTCCATGCACAAAATGGAGTCACACATTGGCTCTAGTTATATTTGAAATATGCCTTTAAATTTCCGGTGATGGAGACGGTGAGTTTATTCATCTCAGTGTTTGCCATAGAGTAGATCCTCAATACATATTGTGGAAAAAATGTATGAATTAATGGATGAATGAATGAGTATTAATTTGTTAGGATAAAAATCCTGCAATTGAGGTCTTCCATCCTTAATAATTTGACAACTCTGATGATTGGAGGAGATGCTATAACATTGATCATCGACCACAAATTAAGTTAGCGATAAACAATGGCCTTCCTGATAGAGGGAGCACAGGGGAGATATGAACAGCAAAACTAGAAAGAAGTAGCTTGAAGAGAAGTACCAGCTCCCCAGGGTACAAGACATATACTGGGGAGAATGCTTTGCCATCTGAAGCTCACACCACACTGGCCCAATGGACAGCTGTGAACTCTGCTCATGCTTGGGTGTGGCTGAGGGGAAGGCATGTCTGCAGAATGGAAGGACAGCTGTGTTTCACAAGTACTAAAGCATTTTAGACAGCATGGGAGGTATATATTTTCACATTGAAGGGAAGAGGGGAAAAAAGCAAAGTCCCTCCCACAGAGCATTAGGCTGCCTTGCAGAAAGCCACGGCAGAGAAGCGGACCTCTCCTTGCTCATGCTTGGTGAATTTTCTGCAGACCTTGGCAGCATCCTGTAGCCGGGTGTCCTCTGAACTGGCACCATAGTTCACTGGAAAAGGCATTCGTCCATCAAGTTCATAGAGGTGACCATCCACGTTGTTAAACAGAATAAAATGGAAATTCACTTTGTCATCTACCCAACATTGGCCTTCCTGTGCCACGGCATCATGGGCTGCCTGTATGGCCTCATTCTTTTCAAAGCATTTTGCTGTCTTCAGGGGACAGTTTCTCTGTTTCAGAAAGAAACTGTTTCAGGACTGATCCGTCCTCAAATCCCAGTTTAACTTGATTATTGGCCACTGCGTGTATAAGTCCAATTGTGCCACAGGAGTTCCCAATGGCCTGCTTTATGAAATATACTTTAGGACTAACTTCTTGTCCCTTCAGCTCTTCAATCTGTTTTTCCTGAAGTTCTCATGCTGGGCCGTGAGGGGAAAGAGCAGCAGCAGTGCACAGGCAGGCGCTGGCACCTGGTGTCTTAGTCCATTTGTGTTCCTATAAAAGGATACCTGAAGCTGGGTAATTTATAAAGGAAAGAGGTTTATTTGGCCCATGGTTCAACAGGTTCTATAAGAAGCATGGCACCAGCATCTACATCTGGTGAAGGCATCAAGCTGTCTCCACTTGTGGCGGAGGGCAAAGGGAAGTCTGCCACATGGTGAGACCAGGAAGCCAAAGGAAAGGAGAGAGGGGTCAGGCCCTTTTTAACAATCAGCTCCTTGATGGGGATAGTGTTGAATCTGTAAATTACTTTGGGCAGTGTGGCCATTTTCATGATATTGATTCTTCCTAACCATGAACATGGAATGTTTCTCCATATGTTTGTGTCCTCTCTTATTTTGTTGAGCAGTGGCTTGTAGTTCTCCTTGAAGAGGTCCTTTACATTCCTTGTTAGTTGTATTCCTAGGTATTTTATTCTCTTTGTGGCAATTGTGAATGGCAGTTCATTCTTGATTTGGCTCTCTTTAAGTCTGTTATTGGTGTATAGGAAGGCATGTGATTTTTGCACATTGATTTTGTATCCTGAGACTTTGCTGAAGTTGCTTATCAGTTTCAGGAGATTTTGGACTGAGACGATGGGGTCTTCTAAATATACAATCATGTCGTCTGCAAATAGAGACAATTTGACTTCCTCCTTTCCTAATTGAATACCCTTTATTTCTTTTTCTTGCCTGATTGCTCTGGCTAGAACTTCCAATACTATGTTGAATAGGAGTGGTGAGAGAGGACATCCTTGTCTAGTGCCAGATTTCAAAGGGAATGCTTCCAGTTTTTGCCCATTCAGTATGATATTGGCTGTTGGTTTGTCGTAAATAGCTTTTATTATTTTGAGATACATTCAGTCAATACCTAGCTTATTGAGGGTTTTTAGCATAAACGGCTGTTGAATTTTGTCAAAGGCCTTCTCTGCATCAATTGAGATAATCATGTGATTTTTGTCTTTGGTTCTGTTTATGTGGTGAATTATGTTTATAGACTTGTGTATGTTGAAACAGCCTTGCATTCCCAGGATGAAGCCTACTTGATCATGGTGGATAAGCTTTTTGATGTGCTGTTGCAATTGGTTTGCCAGGATTTTATTGAAGATTTTTGCATCTATGTTCATCACGGATATTGGCCTGAAGTTTTCTTTTCTTGTTGAATCTCTGCCGGGTTTTGGTATCAGTATGATGTTGGTCTCATAAAATGATTTGGGAAGGATTCCCTCTTTTTGGATTGTTTGGAATAGTTTCAGAAGGAGTGGTACCAGCTCCTCTTTGTATGTCTGGTAGAATTCGGCTGTGAACCCATCTGGACCTGGGCTTTTTTTGGTTAGTAGGCTATTAATTGCTGCCTCAACTTCAGCCCTTGTTATTGGTCTGTTCAGGGTTTTGGCTTCTTCCTGGTTTAGGCTTGGGAGGAGGCAAGTGTCCAGGAATTTATCCATTTCTTCCAGGTTTACTAGTTTATGTGCATAGAGTTGTTTGTAATAATCTCTGATGATGGTTTGAATTTCTGTGGTGATATACCCTTTATCATTTTTTATTGCATCCATTTGGTTATTCTCTCTTTTCTTTTTTATTAATCTGGCTAGTGGTCTGTCTATTTTGTTGATCTTTTTGAAAAACCAGCTCCTGGATTTATTGATTTTTTGAAGGGTTTTTTGTGTCTTTATCTCCTTCAGTTCTGCTCTGATCTTAGCTATTTCTTGTCTCCTGCTAGATTTTGAGTTTTTTTGATCTTGCTCCTCTAGCTTTTTCAATTTTGATGATAGGGTATCAATTTTAGATCTCTCCTTGCTTCTCATGTGGGCACTTATTGCTATATGTTTTCCTCTAGAGACTGTTTTGAATGTGTCCCAGAGATTCTGGTATGTTGTGTCTTCATTCTCGTTGGTTTCGAAGAACATCTTTATTTCTGCCTTCATTTCATTGTTTATCCAGTCAACATTCAAGAGTAAGTTGTTCAGTTTCCATGAAGCTATGCAGTTCTGAGTTAGTTTTTGAATTCTGAGTTCTAACTTGATTGCACTGTGGTCTAAGAGACCGTTTGTTATGATTTCTGTTCTTTTGCATTTGCTGAGGAGTGATTTATTCCCAATTATGTGGTCAATTTTAGAGTAGGTGTGATGTGGTGCTGAGAAGAATGTATATTCTGTGGATTTGGGGTGGTATTTTACAGACTCAAGACTATCCCCATCAAGCTACCAATGACCCTCTTCACAGAACTGGAAAAAAAACACCTTAAACTGCATATGGAAGCAAAAGAGAGCCCACATAGCCAAGTCAATTCTAAGCAAAAGAACAAAGCAGGCGGCATCACACTACCGGACTTCAAACTATGCTACAAGGCTACAGTAATCAAAACAGCATGGTACTGGTACCAAAACAGAGATATAGACCAACGGAACAGAACAGAGGCCTCGGAGGCAACACAGCATATCTACAACCATCTGATCTTTGACAAACCTGACAAAAACAAGCAATGGGGAAAGGATTCCCTGTTTAATAAATGGTGTTGGGAAAACTGGCTAGCCATGTGCAGAAAGCAGAAACTGGACCCCTTCCTGATACCTTACACTAAAATTAACTCCAGATGGATTAAAGACTTAAACATAAGACCTAACACGATAAAAACTCTAGAAGAAAACCTAGGCAAAACCGTTCAGGACATAGGTGTAGGCAAGGACTTCATGACCAAAACACCAACAGCATTGGCAACAAAAGCCAAAATAGACAAATGGGACCTAATCAAACTTCACAGCTTCTGTACAGCAAAAGAAACAGTCATTAGAGTGAATCGGCAACCAAGAGAATGGGAAAAAATTTTTGCAGTCTACCCATCTGACAAAGGGCTGATATCCAGAATATACAAAGAACTAAAACAGATTTACAAGAAAAAAACAAACAAGCCCATTCAAAAGTGGGCAAAGAATATGAACAGATACTTTACAAAGGAAGACATACATGAGGCCAACAAACATATGAAAAAATGCTCATCATCACTGGTCATCAGAGAAATGCAAATCAAAACTACATTGAGATACTGTTTCACGCCAGTTAGAATGGCGATCATTAAAAAATCTAGAGACAACAGATGCTGGAGAGGATGTGGAGAAATAGGAACACTTTTACACTGTTGGTGGGAATGTAAATTAGTTCAACCATTGTGGAAGACAGTGTGGCGATTCCTCAAGGACCTAGAAATAGAAATTCCATTTGACCCAGCAATCCCATTACTGGGTATATATCCAAAGGATTATAAATCGCTCTACTATAAGGACATGTGCACACAAATGTTCATTGCAGCACTGTTTACAATAGCAAAGACCTGGAACCAACCCAAATGCCCATCGATGATAGACTGGACAAGGAAAATGTGGCACATATACACCGTGGAATATTATGCAGCCATCAAAAACGATGAGTTTGTGTCCTTTGTAGGGACATGGATGAACCTGGAAACCATCATTCTCAGCAAACTGACACAAGAGCAGAAGATCAAACACCGCTTGTTCTCACTCATAGGCGGGTGTTGAACAATGAGAACACATGGACACAGGGAGGGGAGCACTACACATTGGGGTCTGTTGGGGGGAAATAGGGGAGGGACAGTGGGGGGTGGGGAGAAGGGGAGAGATAGCATAGGGAGAAATGCCAGATATAGGTGATGGGGAGGAAGGCAGCAAATCACACTGCCACATGTGTACCTATGCAACAATCTTGCATGTTCTTCACATGTACCCCAAAACCTAAAATACAATAAAATAAATTTTAAAAAAATAACAATCAGCTCCTCCAGGAACAAATAGAACAAAACTCTATTCACTCATTACCAGAAGGACAGCAATAAGCCATTTACGAGGGATTCTGCCCCCATGACCCAAACCCCTCCCACCAGGCCCCACCTCCAACACTGGGGATTACACTTCACTGTGAGGCTGGGCCAGTCAAAGAAGCTCCGGAAGTGACAAGCCATAGCATCAAGGAAGTGACAGATGGAAGGCAACTTAAAAAAAGAGAAAGAAAGAAAAAAAAAAGAGAAAGAAATGGCATTGGTCACCTTATGGTAGAAATGCTTTATTGTCTCTGTGGAGAAAATTCAAGTCGAATTTTAAGAGTGTGAAGAAAGGAACTGTGGCTTTCTCATCCCACACTGCCTACCAGATGTAGTGACAGATTTGCCTTAGGGATGTTTTCATGCTGACAGGGAAAGGTGCCATTACCAGGGAGGTCGCAGGCCAGCTAGGCAGCAGTGCTAATGGACTGAATAGCAGGTTCTTCAGAGCAGGAAACCAACTCAGAAGAAATTTAAACTTAGGGGTTGTGGGAAAATTTCAAAAGAGGCCTTTGATTCCAAAGAGGAGAGAGAGCCTGATAATCACATGAAGTTGGTGAGGATGAATGTGAGTGAAGCAGGTGGGAGATTAAAAGCTAAATCAACAGCAGTTTTCAGCGCGCTGGGATCAGAGACGAAGCCCTGATGGGTGGAGAAGACAATGGGTGGAGATTGGTGGACCACACTTGGGAGGAGGGTGGGTGATATGATTTGGCTGTGTCCCCACCCAAATCTCATCTTGAATTATAGCATCCCTTATTTCCATGTGTTGTGGGAGGGACCTGGTGGGACGTAATTGAATCATGGGGGTGGGTCTTTCCCATGCTGTTCTTGTGATAGTGAATAAGTCTCACGTGATCTGATAGTTTTATAGCTGGGAGTTTCCCAGCACACATCCTCTTGTCTGCTGCCATGTAAGATGTGTCCTGCTTCCCCTTCCCTTTCTGCCATGATTTTGAGGCCTCCCCAGCCATATGGAACTGTGAGTCAATGAAACCTCTTTCCTTTATAAATTACCCAGTCTTGAGTATGCCTTATTAGCAGCATGAGAACAGACTAAAACAGCAGGAAGAGGAAACTTGGGAAGAAGGGACCCCAAAATGTGTAAAAGAAGAAGATAATGATAAGTCCACAGCTGGACTCAGAGACTATTGATAAAGGAGGCAGAATGATTCCAA